TTTTATTTTTATGTTTATAAGTCAATTTGTCGATCAGGTTGCTTTGGAAACCATTAGAAACAGCTATATGTTTAATTGTATTAAGTTCTTCTGTGTAATCTATTGAATTCATTGGTACGGAGAGGAGTCTGTGGACAAAACTGTTGTAAGCTGCTAATTTTTGAGAGTATGGATGATGGGAATCTGAGTGGATAGTCTGATCTGTACGAGTTGGTTTTCGATATATTTTAAATGTGAAAATATCATTGTGTTTAGTTATTGTAAGGTCCAAAAAATTCAGGCAATTGTTGGTTTCCTCTTCTAATGTAAATTTAATGTTCTTATGTATGCTACACAAGTAATTGTTTAGCAAGGAAAGTTGCCTGCTATTACCGTTGAACAGAACAATGGTGTCGTCCACGTACCTATAGTAAAAGATTATCTTATCTTTGTACCGATTAGCTGAGGTAAACAAATGCTTGTTCTCAATGTGATTGAGGAATATTTCCGCCAAAATGCTGGATAATGGAGAACCCATTGCTAGCCCGTCTTTCTGATTGTAAAAATTATTTTCAAATTTAAAGTAATTCTGTTTTAGTATGATTCTAATGAGTGCTATGAGCTCGTTGATTGCTTCAAGGGGTAGATTAGAATTCTTATGTAGATTTCGTTCCAATATTTCAATTGTTTCCTGGATTGGTACATTGGTATATAAGTTGACAATGTCAAAGGATGCTAGCTTCATATTACTTTTTACTGGTTGTGTCTTAATTTTGTTTACTAATTCCAAACTATTTTTGATGCTGTGGCTATTTTCTAATATAATTTCTCTCCTGATTATTTTGTCCAGTTTTTTTGCTATCTTATATGCAGGTGATGGTATAAAATTGACCAGAGGTCTGATGGGTATATCAGGCTTATGTATTTTCGGAAGTCCTCTAAGAATAGGTGCTTGGGGGTTAGTTACCTTCAGGTTCAATATTTCGTTAGCTGTTAACAGATGTTTACTAATAGAGATGGCTTTGTTTATATCCTTAGAATTTTTGGCTGTAGGATCCTTATCTAAGAGTTCTATTGTATTGGTTTTACTCATAAAATCTTCTACTTTGTTCACATAGCTGTCGTGATACATTATTATGTATCATTGTATAATCATTGTATAATTGTAATCCCTTCAATCCAGGAAACAATTGAAATATTGGAACGAAATCTACATAAGAATTCTAATCTACCCCTTGAAGCAATCAACGAGCTCATAGCACTCATTAGAATCATACTAAAACAGAATTACTTTAAATTTGAAAATAATTTTTACAATCAGAAAGACGGACTAGCAATGGGTTCTCCATTATCCAGCATTTTGGCGGAAATATTCCTCAATCACATTGAGAACAAGCATTTGTTTACCTCAGCTAATCGGTACAAAGATAAGATAATCTTTTACTATAGGTACGTGGACGACACCATTGTTCTGTTCAACGGTAATAGCAGGCAACTTTCCTTGCTAAACAATTACTTGTGTAGCATACATAAGAACATTAAATTTACATTAGAAGAGGAAACCAACAATTGCCTGAATTTTTTGGACCTTACAATAACTAAACACAATGATATTTTCACATTTAAAATATATCGAAAACCAACTCGTACAGATCAGACTATCCACTCAGATTCCCATCATCCATACTCTCAAAAATTAGCAGCTTACAACAGTTTTGTCCACAGACTCCTCTCCGTACCAATGAATTCAATAGATTACACAGAAGAACTTAATACAATTAAACATATAGCTGTTTCTAATGGTTTCCAAAGCAACCTGATCGACAAATTGACTTATAAACATAAAAATAAAAAAAAAAAACTGGAACAAAAGAAAAGAAAACCTATGTCTCTGCGAAGTACGGTTCATTCCTCAGCACCAAATTTAAAAACATAATGGATAACAATAGTATCACAGTCTCATTCAAAACTGACAATAAACTTGGATCTTTGCTAAAAAAACCGCCCCAGACACCTACAGCAACCTTCGAAAAAACCGGTGTGTACCAAATCAATTGTAGTGATTGTCCAAAATATTACATAGGCCAGACATCCCGATCTTTTAGTAAACGGTTTAAAGAACATCTACCGAAAAGGACTACAACTGCACAAACATCGACCTTCGCAGAACACCTGGTTTCTCTCAACCACAATTACAATAGTATTGACAGTAATATGAAAATCCTACACCTATCGAACGACCGATTCAATGGAAACACATTGGAAGAATTCGAAATCTACAGGGCTGTTAAATTTGACAGCCAAAACATCATCAACGACAAGATTTCATTCCAATCGAATTACATATACGACACTGCTATTAAGATAATGGAGCTAGGGACAGTTGTGAATGGAACTATCAGCTGATCGGGAAATCCAGGCATGACGTCATCACTGACCACGTTGATCCTGACCGGCAGTCTAGACATAACTTTCGCCCGATCACGTCGTGTCGTGTCCCGTAGGCCTACCGTGTTCAGTATTTTTACAGCTTTAAATGTTCGTTTTTATGTCCGTGTACGTGTTTGTGTTTTGTTTATTTATTATCCATTTGACGACCTTCGAATGAAGCGAGAAGACATCTTATAACCGCCTGAAGATGACTCCAATGTGAGTTGAAACCGGTAGCAACTCAGCTACAACACAAGATCGCATAAATGCAGGTATTTTACACCAATTTATAATACCTATAACTTAAAGAGTAAGCTCCTAGCCCCTAATAAGTTCAATAACAATAATTCAACTTGGGTAAGTTGCTAGCCATGGGTTAGTGTCTGGTCCTTCGACGCTGAAGGCACATGTTCAATTCCCGGCATATCCACAAACCCTTAAAAATGAGTTTGGACCGCTTTCCTTAAACGCGTTAAATTTACATCATTATAAAAATGGCGTAGACAAAAGCAAAAAGAAATAGCAAACATATCACGTAAATACATACAACTGTTAGGCTGATAAATGGATATGAATCGAGTCAGAGATTTTATGTTGCTGTTGGTTTCGCATGAGTCAATCCTTTAGAACTACGGGACAAAACCCCTGGCCCTTGGAGAAATCAAAATATATGTTCTTAGTCTGTACCCGCCCCTTCCGCCTCCAACCCTCAATACAGTCTCGTCTGGGAGTAGAGTACAGAACCACTACAGAGAGTCACTAACACTACAATCTGTTTGTATCTAGAATAATCTAGCTTTATTTTAAGCTCTATTTGCAATATTGGAGAAAAAACTTTGATAATTTATTGATTTTATTTAGTGTTAATGAGTTATATGCAATAAATCATAATGTATGGGTGTTTGATTGGTTCTGATTCTGTCTTTTAATTTTCTATGCTTAGGTCTAAATTTTAAAATGCATTATGTTCTGTTGGCTTATCTTTGCTACCTGTGTATTAATTATTAGGAAATTCAACAAATTAACTATCAAAATCACTGTCATTACTTTAGCTTATGAACATTACACATTGCTAATTATAAACTCTCTCGAGTTCTACTCTCTTGACAATTCAATTGGCATTGAATCGAGTGAGATAATTTGTGTACCTACACTATTACATAAGCCGTTTCTTTAGACTGGATACTTTTATTAGAATACCTGTTGTATCAAGGACAGTTTGGCCCAGTATTTATAACTAACTTTTTCTCAGGATCGAATAGGCAACCTTTTGATTGCTAAACAACCACTCAGCTATCCAACTATTCTTGATACAACAGTGTTATTCTTGGAAATAAGAAAATGTAGTCTTTCAAGGGTTATTTTCATAAACTATGATTTATTACAATAATTTTAGATACCACAATTAACCAACCACAAAAGCCATACCGACAAGGACAACTTACTGGTTTGCATTGCTTATTTTTCGTGCAAATTTGTAAAAATATACAAAAGAATAAACATTACATCCGGTTGTTTACTCATTAAGAGTTTATTAGAACAGATTGTTCTCTTACACCCCATTTGCAGGCAAATGAAGCACCCGACTGAGTTTAAAGCGGTCTTTAGGGCACAGTTGAATCTGCAGCGTCGTTCTTTATGTAATGTTAAAGAATTATCTTGGGAAATATTCTACTCATTCACAATGCATGGGACAATTCAGTAGTTGGCTTATGACTGTCAGGAATTATTATTATATTATTGTATTAAATTGTTTTTTTCTGTTATTTATGTTTAATACATTTAAGTTACCGTGCTTTTCGGCTCACACTTTCGGTCCTTATTCTACTGTATTACTATGCGTACAATCATCGGAAATAAAACGTGCTGTGCAAAGTTTCTAATTTAGTCAAACATTGCATGTCCCATTGCTAAATCTTATAAATTTACTCACAGTTTCCTTGCATGAATAAGGGTTCATACGTATACTGTATAGACTTGACAATGTTGTTGGAATGGGGCTAATGTATAGTCCATTAGACTAAGCTAAGTGGCACAAAGGGATACAGCGTTGATTAAGAGTTAATGTTATTCTGCTGTATATGTGTAAACTCCCTAGCCTACTTACCTAAATCACAAATAGATAATGATGGAGTAATCCCATATACCTATGCATATACCTTGTCCTCTTCTTATTTTGAATAAGAGGTTTCTTCGATATTGGTTTAGTTATACTTTTCTTAAAGAGGAATAAAAGTTGGTGTTAGCTTTTACTACAGTCAATGGAGAGGACATTCTAGACAGTAAGGGAACTAATACCTTAATAATCTTTGCACACATTGGGTAGAACAATTTTTTTTTTACAGATTAATGAATAATAGTTCAATATGTGCTACACTTTATACATTCTTTGTAAACCCTTAGCGTTTAATTATCATTGAGGATGAAATAATTATAAGTTATTTAGCTCTTACCAACATTTCCTACCTGCAAATCTCCAGATATCTTTAAATATTATACGAAAATCAAAAGATTATCAAATACCCAAATCAGCTGTTTATTTTCCAATTACTCCTTCCGTTGTTCCCTTACCTGTAAAACAGCTGACTGTCATGGAGGAGGTTATTTTTGGCGGGAGTCACTCGCGCCACTCCGTCGCTGGAGGATTTGCGAGTCCAGTGATACAGGAAGTGGTCAGAATTAGTAACGACGTTATCGGATAATTAACAAACAGGTATGTTATTACTGTAATTCAATTAAATTTGACTATAGTCTATTTTGTAAGCGGACATGGTTTACCTTTATAATAAAGATTACAGCTTTGGTCAGTTAAATTTATATTGGAGTTATTAGATATGGTTATAAAAAAACTTTTTTATCTTTGCCTCCAGTACTTACAATTTTTTTAACACTTTTCTTATGTCTAAACTCCAGACCTTTGAAAACCCTTTGACGTTTTACCTCTGATTGTTTAATTTTATATATTTTAATTTTAGTATGTTTAATTTTAGTAGTAAGAACAGTAACACTTGTATTTAAAACAACGACAGTGTCAAGGAAATGAATAAATTTAAGATCATTGATAATGCGCATCCGATTCATGGAATTTGTTTATTAATCTGTAAGATATTTGTTATTTTTGCCTAAAAGGCTCGTCATCCATTATTATCTTGTGGTAACATGTTAAATGAGATTAGGGATCACAAAATATACTTTAGGGACTTTTATAACTAAATTAGAATATTGGAATATATTCTATTTAAATGATACAAAACTACGATCTCAATAATCTTTCTAATTATTAAATAACAAGTGACAAAGAAGGTTTCATGCCTTAATACTTAAAAAGACTTACTGTAGTTAATTTGTAATTTGTTTTACTATGTGTACATACTAAAGAAAACAATTTTGACTATTCACATCAGTCATGGTAAAGACAATATGTAAACGCTCCTTTTAAATGCTTGATAGAAACCTTTGTTTTATATTTTTTTTATCATAGATATTTTTTTATAATTTTTACGGCTGTTTGTAGCTGTAGTTTGTATTACATGTACATGCATTACTCTTTGGAGTCATTTCTGTTTCAATGAATACTCATCTTTATATTGATATGCAATCAAACCTAATGCTGGAGCAATTTTCAAGAATTAAAATTTCATATTGTTAGACATATCATAAATGTAAAATTTTCCTCTGTATCTCTATATTTTAAATTTATGTTGTACCACAAAATCACTAAAAACCAATAAAGTAAAGCAATTAGAACGCAAATAATAATCTGTTACAAAAGGTAATTCTTTGTAATCAGTGGTCCGAAAGCTTAAAATTAATTAACATAAAATCCACAACAAACTATTTTCCAAATAGTTAATTAGCTTTCTTTTGAGGAGTTTTTAAGATTATAGTTTGCATTGCCCTATCAATGCAAACTATTTATAAATTTTTTATCTATTTATTTAACTATTTTTTTTATTTAATTTGTTGTGTATTTAAGTGTACCAAGAGAAAAACTCGTATTAGACTCTGCCAATGGTAATATATATGACTACTCTAATGTTAATGACTACACACTCAAAGAGTGAGCTCGTATCAAAGTTTAAATTTTTCATACTATGGTATATTATCGGAACGTAAGGTATTTAAGTTTTCAAAGTTAATAAACCGACAAGAAATAATTTGTTAACATAAGAATACACTTTAAGTTTACCTTAAAAAACATGTCATAAGTTTCCCCTATAAGGAATTGCCCTTATGTTCCACGCATACAATAACCAAACACAGTTTGTATCACTTAGTTTTCACTATAACATCCAAATGGGAATCAATCGTCTACTGTACCCCTCCCTAATGTATTTGTACTCAAAGCTATATACATCGGATATAGTATCTTTGCATGTTTTAACAGTACGATTTTCAGTTGGCAGGTGTGTCGGTGTAAAGTACTGTTGTGTGTTTCTATATTTTGGTTGTCCAGTTGGCAGCAGTGTAACAGCTGACAGATCGCCTCGCAGGTGGTACACCTGATACAACCATTGACACCGTGTAGCTTGTAGAGTGTTGCTTTTTGGATGAGTCTTTTTTATTTAAATAATTTATTATTTTTGTAATTTTTACCTTCATAATGAATGCATTTCTGTAAAGTGGACATGTATTTAAATTTTAAAGCAATAGCCAGTTTTAAAATATAAATAGCTTTTATGAATTAAACCACTGAAGTGTAGGTAAATACAAAACAATACTCTCTTGTACACCGACGTTTTAATCATGCCAAATTCAAACGGCGATCTAGTTTAGACGTATATCAAATATTGTATAGCGGAAACAAAATTCTAATATAAAATCTAATAAGTGGCACGCACCGTCATAAGTGCATCTAGCCTACTATTTCCTCTCAGACGTAAAATTTCGTCTTTGTATCCAAAGAAAATACTACAAATTAAATTTTACCAATAAATAATTATAGTCCTATCGTTTGCTAAATCTAAATTATAAATACTTAATGTACCGGTACCAAAATTAAAAGTTACACTCAGGTAGCCAAGCTATATTTTTATTAGAAAATGAACAAAAGTCAATTACTACTAAGCTGATGGAGTTAACTTGAATGCATTCTTTACAAGTCACTGACCGCGTGTCACTCATGAGTTTTTAAACCAGATCATAAATGTCACAACACGTTAGAGCTCGACACATATATCATTCTTTTGCCACCAGACAACATGTAAAATTCAATCCACGTATTGAAAACTGCAAATTGATTCAGTCTGCATGGTAATAATTCTACATACAGTTATTGTCAAAATTCAGCTTTTAGACGAGCTTGGATGGAAACCAATGTCTTTAAACACATAATCTTAATTTTTTGTATGAACTCAGACAAAACAATTTATTAATTAATATATAATTTTAATAAGTTGTTTTCCTGTTCTTTCAACCGAGTCGTCATTAGTTAACTACAATGTTATGGTCATAGAGTAATATGTCTAGGAGATCTTTTACAACTGATTCCTCTATAGCTAAATGAAAAGTATATTTATTTTGCCTTGATGGCCATGATGACATGATATCCAAGTGCATTATGAAATCATCCAAACCAACGACGTAGGAAAATAAATATGGATCATTATACATCTTTGACCTCTCAGAAGGTATATTAGTGGCTGCTGTGGTTTAGCCGTGGTCAGTTATTGTAGATATGTACCATACGAGTTGTTGTTGGCATGGAGCTGGAGCGAGGTATAAAACACGGTGCAGGTGGACGATATTGTGCCAGAAGTTGTTCTACAAACCGAAACCCCACAAAAACAGCCAAGTTTTTGTGCTTTTATAGCTTGAATAAATTGTATAAATGTAGAATTTATATTGTTTATTGATTGTTTCCACTATTGTTCATCACTAAATTTTGCTTTACTAATCATTCATGGAAATTTTAAGCCACTAAATATTAAGATAACTATTAAAAGTGTCCCAACGCTATAAAATGTTTTTTACAGTATTTTAAATGGCTATGCCCGTGGGGTTTCTGCATAAGAAGCCATTGATGATCGGCTAAATTTGAACCCGGATCCTCATGAACAAAGCTCCAAGCTCTACCAAGTACACTAGCTTGCTCCTACGTTTATATTTTATCCATACGGCGAACTTAAACCGTTGATATTGACAAAAATTGATAAAATCTGCTGAACATAAGCTTTGATTAGATTGACTCAACAGCTCTGCTTGTTCAGTTAGTATCGAAACAATTGACTGGTCCAAAAGCGCGGGACGAGTTGTTCAAGCGGCCAACCAATGGCGGCAGTTTGGTACAACACATGATTTTGGAGGGTAAATATTTGCATCAGTCTGGGGCAAGCTGGTTAGCGTTCAAACATTTCGTGCGAAACAGTTGTTACAGAAAGTAAACTGTTCTAAATAAAGAAGTGTCGGGGAAAACATCGGGGAAATATCATAGAGTTTTCGTCACAATCATTTTCTGTAATGTACTCATTGGTTTATGTTTATGAAATTTTATGTTTTATGTTTGTCTCAAATGTGAATATGGTTAAAATAGTATTTCGGATCATTTTTATTTATCATGCAGTAGTTATTTCAACTGTTGTCAAAAAATGAATCAAGGAATATATTCAACACTTTGTTTACTTTCGGAAATGTTAGGTTAAGCCACGTAGCAGTCAGGTTTATATGGTAGAACTCTCATCCTTAGTTCATGATAGTATTTATCATTTTTATGCCTACATGATAGTTTCACAAAAGTTGTATGCGTCAACAATAGATTCGCTGTATTATCAAACGTTCAACAAAAGCAAAAACACAAGAAATCTGTAAATAAACACAATAAATATAAAGATTGAGTTTGATCACCTAAATATCAGAGATGGGAGGGGAATCATATATACTAACTATTAAATAACTTTAGCATTATGAGTCTCCATTAAAAATCCCCCTCTTAAAAAAACCTTCAGTTGGACTAACTGATTTTTTAACAAATTTTGAACCCTCAGAGAATTGGCTCATGTAAGTCTGTATACATTTAAGCCCACATACTGTCCATTCAGAATTGTTTACATTTAATAAACACTCGCCATACATTTAACACGCTTAATACTTAATTACAAACAACGTGTTTGTCCTACTCATCTCACAAAGCATCATTATGCAGTTTTTGCTAGCAGATTTCACGTCAAGTCGAGGTAATCTATTGCCAGCCACGGTCTAAGGGACGGACTTCGCCCAGATTATCGGGTGGTCAGCTCCACTTGCTAATGCGAACGGACATGAATGTTAATGGAGGGACCTGAGCCCCATTAGACCAAATGGTCACCCAACGCTTTATAATCAATTTTGTCGGGTGAGAAATTCAATTGGTTTCCATTTTTGTGAAAAGTTTCACCTCTTGGACTCTGCATAAGGTAAGAATTTAATTATAATATTTTTTTTTCGTTTTCATTGGGATCTCAGCGTTTAATTTATGCATTTTTATAATAAACTGCATATTCTTACGTCTGAATTATTGCTTGTTTTAACTTTATTCAAACTGTAATGCTCTATTTAGTTAGACAGTGGACAAGCCCTATAACATTGACTGTACATTCACGATTACATAATCAATGTCTATACACAATGTAGATATAGATTTCACATATTTGTCCTTTGTTATCAGTTATTTTTAAATATTTTATCCTGAAATAAA